TTAATTCTTAAAACTAATTATTTGTTTAATTTAATAAAGTGTATTGAACATAGAAGATAATTGTAGGCTTGTACAGAATTCCTTTATTTATAAAAAATTGTGAATGTAGTTATGTTTAATTTATGTGATTTATAACATATACAGTTATCCTAACTAAATAGTAAATATCTTGTTCGAAAATTTTGTATTTAATATTTTTTTTTTTTTAAATACAAAATATAATAATAAGTATTTGAAATATACTTGAAATACTTCTGTCTAAAAGTATTTAAAATGTATTTAAATACTAGTATTTAAATATTAATATTTAAATATTTAACATTGCGATTTGCACCTTGTCCGTTACACACGTATGTCGTACGCTCCTATAATTGTTTTGATCCCGTTATCATTTCGTGTTCGAATTCGTCAAGTTTACTACCAAAAAATTCAAAATCACCTAGTTTATAATAATATATAACTTATAAAAGTGCAAGTGCGCTCAATGCGCTTCGTTTTCAAAATGTTAAAATAAAAATTGTGCGTTTAAAACCAATCAATTACCGTTAATACAACAACTTTCGTCGCGTATCGCTGCAACGTGCACGACGACCTTTACTCTCAAGATAATATCCTAATCTACCATTGAAACAGAAAAATAAAAATAAAAATAATAATAATACACAATCTACTCATTTAAACACAACTAATGATCTTGAAAACGTTATCGAAAACATAGACGACGATTCGACTAGTTGGACTTTGGTCCAACCAACAAAGGATGGTAAACGTTGTCATTCTAGCTCTTCCGAACAAAACTCTCCGCAAACTCCGGTGAATAAAAATAAAAAGTTTTTTTTTTCCGCAAATCGTTACGAAGTTTTATCATCAAATGATCACGAGCCAATACTCCCAACGACTGATTCAACTAATAATAATTATAAAAAAACCTGAGGCATCCCTTAACGTTGAACCTAAGACCGCTTTACCCCCACCAATATTCTTAAGACTACTACATGTTACTTTTACTGATCTGTGCACTAAGCTCATTGAGATAATTGGTGTCGACAATTTTCACTGTAAAGCTCTGGCAGACCGCCTCAAAATAATAACAACTAATCCAGACTCATACAGAACGCTGGTCCGCTTCTTAAGAGAAGAAAAAGCTCAATTTCATACCTATCAGCTCAAAGATGATAAACCAACTCGTGTTGTCATTCGCAATCTTCATCCAACTACTCCGCCGGAGTTAATCAAATCCGAGCTCGAACAACGTCTTTTTGAAGTCAGACAGGTCTCAGCCGTCCTACACAAAGTAAATAAAAATCCACTACCACTGTTCTTTGTGGACCTCGAACCAACCAGCCAATCCAACGACATCTTCCAACTCACGTCACTTCTCCACACAAAAATAAAGGTGGAGGAACCTTATAAGCCTAAAACTATTAGCCAATGCACTAATTGCCAAGTATACGGACATACAAAATCGTATTGTGGCTATCCAGCTCGTTGTGTTCGCTGCGGTGGTCATCATTTATCAGCTGACTGTCCGAACACCCGTGATGCCCTACCCAAGTGCGCTCTCTGCTCTGGCGATCATCCATCTAACTACAAAGGCTGTACCATCTATAAAGATCTACAACGAAGAAAAAATCCAAAATCAAGTAATCACTTATCTAATAATTTTAGCTATAAAAATACCTATGTACAAGATACCCACACAGTGAAAGCCTCCACAATACACCCTTCAGAGTCGACTCCTACCTACGCCCAAGCTACTTCCAATTCTCATTCCAATCATACGGTACCTTCACCTGCTCCAGACATAAACAAAATAATGTCAACCTTCATTGACGAGTTTAAACAATTAATTAATCCTCTAATCGCCCTACTAACCAAAGTAATCACAAAACTTCTAGATTAAAAACATGTCATCTCCTACAAGTAACTCACTTCTAATTCTCCTATTTAATGCTAACGGACTAAAAAATCACCAAAATGAACTACAGGTAGTACTACAAGAAAAACGTATTGATGTTGCTCTAATATCTGAAACGCACTTCACAAAATATTCCCATATTCCCATAGCTGGGTATAATCTACTGAAAACCAACCACCCAGATAATACTGCGCATGGAGGTGCTGCAATTTATATTAAAACCTCCCTGGTATACCAAGCCCTTCCTAACTTCTGTCAACCAAATTTACAGTCTTGTGCCATATTAATGTACCTCAACAACGTACCGACCACAATATCTGCAATATATTCTCCACCACGACATAATATGAACTTTCAAAATTACGCTGATTACTTTAGCACACTTAGCCATAATTTTATTATAGGCGGTGACTATAATGCCAAACATCGCAGTTGGGGCTGCCGCACAAACAACCCTAGAGGTAATGTACTTCACAATTTCATAACTCAGAAAGGCTACAAAGCTCTTGCTTCCCCTGGACCAACCTATTGGCCAACCTCACTTCGCAAAAAACCCGATATACTTGACATTTTTGTTTCCAACACTCCGAGCAACATTTACTATACGACTAGTAACCTGCTTGAACCTAGTTCGGACCATTCCGCCGTCCTATTAACTGTTAGTGCTGCTCCTCCAATTCGTTCCTGTCCACCAAAGCTTTTCGACTCCACCACTGATAAGCAAAAATTCCATGACTTGGTTGATCGAAACATTAACCTTAAAATTAGTCTTAAAACCACCCAAGAAATTGATGATGCCATTAATAATTTCACGAATGTTATTCAAACTGCAGCATGGGATGCTAGCACTTCACACAGGCAGCACTCTAACCATTCCCCTTCGATCCCTGAATATATTCGCATATTAATAGCTAACAAACGCAGAGCAAGGGCCCTATATCAACGATATCGCCTCCCATCCCTCAAGCGTAATTTCAACAACCTGGCAAACTCTCTAAAAAAAATTCTTTCTAGTCACAAAAATCAAGCACAAGCCAACTTCCTTGCAAATTTGTCATCGAAAGACGGTAGCCTTTGGCTAGCCACAAAAAAGGCCCTGCAACATCAAGCTCCGAATACTCCGCTAATAAACCCGTCCGGTGGATTAGCTTCTACAGACGCTGATAAAGCTGAATTGTTAAAAAATCACCTAGCAAAAATTTTCACGCCACATTCTGATATACAAATTCACAATCACACAGCTTTAGTTAACAGATTTCTTGACAGCCCACTTCCACCTACTCTTCCATCAAAATGTTTTACTTCCAACGATATTAAAAATGCAATTCAAAACTACAGCCTTAAGAATTCCCCTCGTTATGATCTAATAACTGCGGAAGTTGCCAAATGCCTCCCAAAAAGAGCAATTGTCCTGCTAACGGTCCTGATAAATGCCTCCCTAAGATTAGCTTACTTCCCGCAACTTTGGAAGTTTTCAATAATAATTGTATTTCCAAAACCAAAAAAACCACCTGATATTCTCTCTTCATATCGACCTATAAGTCTTTTGCCCTTTTTCGCAAAAATTTTTGAAAGGCTTATTCTTAAAAGAATTTTGCCATACATTTTTTCAAACAACATAATTCCGAACACGCAATTTGGCTTTCGTGCCTGTCATGCCACAACTCATCAATTGCATAGACTAGTCGACGCCATTTCGTTCTCTCTCGAAAAGAAAAAATACTGCTCGTGCGTGTTCCTTGATGTCTCACAAGCCTTTGACAGGGTTTGGCATGAAGGGCTACTATTTAAGCTAAAAGCTTTTCTTCCCACAACATATTTCTTACTCATTAAATCTTACCTCACGGATCGCCACTTCCAAGTCAAGTTTGGCTCTTCCTTTTCAAATATTGAAAAAATTAGCGCAGGAGTCCCTCAAGGTGGCATTCTTTCACCTATACTATACAATGTATATGCAGCAGACCAACCTACCTCTCCAACAACATCTGTAGCTGAATTTTCTGATGATAAGGCAATTATATCAGTACATGAAGACCCTCACATTGCTTCTTTAAACCTTCAAAACCACCTTGACCTAATGTCTGTCTGGTATGATAAATGGCGAGTACAAGTCAACCAATCTAAATCCATTCATACTACATTCACTCTTCGTCTCCCTCCCTGCCCAGGAGTCTTTCTTAACAACATACCAATCCCATCATCCCAATCGGTTAAGTACTTAGGCCTAACCTTTGACCGTCGCCTGACCTGGGGACCTCATATCAAAACTAAAAAACTCGCCCTAAACGAACGACTACGCTCAGTTAAACCACTAATATCTAACAAGCACACTAAACTAAACACCAAACTTCTTATATATAAATCATTAATCAAGCCCATGTGGACTTATGGCCTACAACTATGGGGCAGTGCAAAAATAACTAATGTAAATAAAATCCAAACCGTTCAAAATAAAATTTTAAGATTAATCACTAATGCCCCACCATATGTCTCCAACTACTCTCTGCACACAGATCTAAACATAAAAACAGTTCACGCTGAAGCAATAACATATTACAAAAGATTCCATAACAGACTTCCATACCATCCTAATCCCCTTATATCCAATTTAGCTTCTCGCACAATTCCAGGTAACCCCACTCGACGACTAAAAAGAAATTGGTGTCGTGATTTACTAAATGAATAATCCAAATAATTTAAAAAAAAAAATATATATATATATATAAATAAACATTATAGGTAGTGCCTTCACTGGTTGGCTTCTTCCCTCACGTTTTCATGTACAAAATATTTTATCACATATTCTTATTGTGCCTAAGGATACAGATTGTATATATCTTGTTAAAAATAAAAAAAAAAAAAAAAAATATTTAACAAGTATGCTTTTATCACTTAAAATATAATAGGTTGTATTTTGAGATCATTGTGTATGAAACTTTCCAAAACATGATATTTTTAAAATTGATAAGAATTTTCATTAGAATCCACAGATATATGTATAAATCTAAACAACGGCTGACGCTCTGATATCGCGGTTACATTCACGGTTATATATAATTTTTATAAATTAGATAGCCTACAAATGGAAATGGCTATTGATAGTTTCACAAAACTAAACTTTGATGAAAGTTCATTTTTCATAGACAACTACAAGGTAACAATTAGAATATTTAAATAATATAATAATATACCTAGTATATTATTAAAAAAAAAAATTAATTAATTTTACTTTTTGTAGAAGCTATGTAATGTTGATGTTGTAACGTTTAAATCAGAAATGTTAGTAGCTAAGAACTGTATTGTTCGTTTAAATAAACATGAAGATGTTGAGTTGGAAGATTTGAAGAAACTACTATTAGATAAATCCGTCAATGCCAATTTGTACTCACTATTACAAGTAGCATTATCCATTCCTGTAAGTTCGGCTACGTGTGAACGGTCGTTCTCAGCAATGAGAAGAACTAAAACATGGACTTCTATGCACCAAGAGAGATTTACAAATCTCTCTTTAATACACATAGAAAGAGATATTTCAAATACAATTAGTACAGAAAATATTTTAGACGAATTTTCTAAAAAAGATCGCAGATTCTCTTTTTAATAATAAAATTCAATATTAATATCCAAATGTATTAATTTTTTTTGTTTTAATTGCTTAAGACATTTGAAAGTGTATTTTATTGTGTTTCTGGATGGGTGTATGGAGTGAGAACTCCTGTATCTTTTATTTTAAAAGGAGTATCTATAAAGTAAACAAATTACTAATAATCGTAGTGTGTCAACTCAATGAAACATAATACAAAAATCCAGTAATACTTCAATAGATATGCTAAAGGGGGGTGTGGGGGGCGAAGCCCCCACGAGTCTATTTCATATAAATTTGTCCAGCCCCCCAAGGAAAATCTTCAAATTGAGCCTATGCAGGTACATCATCATAATATATTATTATTATTATATTGTTTCAGCAGTTCTGCAAACAAGTTCCCAGACTTTTTTATCACGTTTTCTTTTCGAAAAAACAACGGCGTTTGCATTTCGGCGTCTGTAGGTGTATAATAATATCTAAACACAATTAGTTAGATGCACCATTAAAATATTATATAAATAATATATATATAGTAGTAGAGGTAGCGTACATAAACGGTTTATATTTTAAATAGATATATTATTAAAATAAACTCTGGCTTTTAGGCCTTGATCCGAAGCGACGTTGTGCGATTTCATTCTTTTTTTTTTTCCCAGCACATCGGCCCGTATCCCTATTACATGTACGCAGGCGTATTATTTTATACATATATATGTTACCGGAAATGTTGACACTGAAAGTGGATTTTTAAAACATATGTACACAAGATCAGAAATAAATCCTTGCAAAGCAAATTTATTGGATCTAAGTACTGTGTTAAAATCGGCAGGTCAAGCAGAAAAACCTTTATCACTTCGGGAGGCAGCTACTGTAAATAGTATTTCAGGGGCACAAGGATATACCCGATGTCAATGTAAGACAAAATGCAAGACGAACAGGTGTGCTTGCAGACCGGCATCTAGAATTTGTAATTCTAAATGTCATGGAAATTTGCCATGCGAAAATAAAAATAAGTAACTACGTTGCAAATCGTAAAAAAAGTTAAAAAGCTTAAATTACATAAATTAAAATGTTAAAAAAAATACTTGTTTATTTATTGATTATTTATTAAGGTAGATTAATTAATAATTATGTTTGATAAAAGTAATATTTAAATAAGTCAGATTAAATTTAAAAAATGGGGCATCTTTGCCTACTATCGTTAGGAAATGATAACATATACTAGGCGATGATATCATTTCCTTCCGATTTTAGGAATTGTCAACATTTACTAGGAATTGTCATCATTTCCGGTAACATATATATTATATACACATCATAATTATACTGGGACCGATGCTATATACACATATATGCATGTATATATAAAGAGTATCGATATATACGTATACAAATGCCACACGAAAATTACCGTATCAACCTACATAATATACATGCATATATATATAATGTTTTACGTGTTTACGCCAATGTGTGTGTGTGTGTGTGTGTGTGTGTGTGTGTGTGTGTGTGCGTGCGCGTGAGTATAATATATATATATGTGTATATATATAATAAGTAATAACAATGTATAACAACACTATGTTATAGGTAGGTACTGCAGTTAATATATAATATAATATATGTATATACCGTGTGTCCCAAAAATCAGGGGCCACTTTACTACTCATTACCATGTACATATTTTTCAATTCTGTTTGCGGGACATTAAACTAGACTAATGGATCGTAAATTTCTTTGACTCACAATGTTTTTAACTCATGTATCTTGCGCATGCGCAATCAAACTTACATTTTTTTAAATGGCAACCCGTAATAAACCCGTAAATAACTTAAAAAATTCAATTTAATTAATTTTTTTTCTAACTGTGCGTACTTATTTTTTTCTTCTAAGCACGGTGAAACAAACAATCAAAATTATTATTATTAAACTAATTAACTATTTACTACTTACAAATTATTATCTTATTTTATTATTACACATTATGAAATTGCTAATGATAATGTTATTTTATAATGCGTAATAATAAAATAAGATAATAATTCATAAATAGTAAATAGTTAGGTACCTAATTAGTTTAATAATAATAATTTTGATTGTTTGTTTGTTTCATGGTGTTTAGAAGAAAAAAATAAGTACGTACAGTCACCCTTAAAATCCAAAAACGTCCTAATTAAACCTTTTATTGCATTCCTACTATCTTATGTTTTTTGTTTTAAATTAATGTTATTAAATGTTAATTGGGCCACATTTTAACTACCTGTTTTGAATAAAATATTTGTTTACATTTTACTACCCGGAGATTGGGCAACAAATTAAATCTATATTTTTTAAGTGTAGGTACCCGGAGATCGGGCCATAATAGTATAGCACACAAATATACTATTAATACGAATATATAATAATGTTTATTAACTAATTATTATTGTTTTAACATATAAAAATACAAATCGTCAAATAATTAATATTTTTTTTAAAATACATTTTCTAATAGGTACATAAAAATATAATACAAGACATTTCGATCTATAAACTATAAAGTCAGTCCAATAATAAATAATAATAAATAATGCCAATACTCATTTTACAAATATAAATAAATATATAAATATTTTATAAATATAAATAATTTTTTTCTAATATAATAATTTTCCTTTTTAAATAAAATGATACAGATTGTACATATTATTCAAATCGGGTTTTTTCCCCTTCTTCATATTTTTTAATTTCATTAAGAATAAAATTGTGTCGAACTAAAGTTCGTTTTCTTGTTTTTATTGTTCCTATACTTTTAATCTTAATATAAACTTCTGATTGAAGTTGCAATAAAACATTTTAAAAATTATGTATATTTGGATGTGACATATAGAAATTATTTTTGAAATGTGAATGAAAAGATTCGACGGCATTTGTAGTTCGAGTATGTACGTACCCATTTTTATATTATTTGAAATTGTATACATTTTGGCTGGACATGTTTTCTTGGCACATCGCCAACTAGTTTTGCCACATTGACTCTCATGAGCAAAAGAAAATTTATATTTATTAAAAATTAATAATTTTTTTCCTCTTTCGGACATTAACACTTCCATTGTACCTACTTTATATTACAAACCACGCGTGTACTACTAGATGTCGATCGTATAGTTGCTAATCAACTAAACGATCACAATTTACAATGTTTCATAATCTTTGCACACTATACGCGTATGACTATTTTTATCCATTTCATTTGATGACAATTGATAATTCTACATCATAAGATATTGGATAATTTATTACCTTTTGATAAGGCATACGCAGTCGCTTCGAGTAAAGTTTCGTGTGTTGGCCTACCTGTAATAAATATAAAATTTTGTTGGCCCAATTACCGTATACCTATGGATAAAAAGATGAATTGTGGCCCAATTCCCGGGCGCCCATTAAATGTAGGTACTGAATAATATAATTATAATTAAATAGGTACCTACAACTTTTACCATCTTTCTTATTTTTATGCAAAAATTATATTTAATATGTAGGTACCTACCTAGGTATATCTTGAATATAACATTTACCTATTTACGTGGAACCCTGGTTTAAATGTTCAATCCTTAGCTCAGAGATTCCCAACCAGGGTGCCGCGAAATTTTTTTAGGGTGCCGCGAAATTATTTGAAATATTTTTTTAGAAAAAACAATTTCATTAAAAATAAATACAATGTAATAATTTGTTTATAAAATGTAATATGTACTTTTGATTATACTTATGCACTAATAAATAGAACCGAAGTACTCTATAGTATAGACTATAGACTATAGAGCATAGGGTGCCTCCGGATTTTTAGAAAATGTCCAAGGGTGCCACGAGTCAAAAAAGGTTGGGAACCTCTGCCTTAGCTATATATAACTATTATAATAGTTGAACATTTTATAAATTTTTAACTACAAAATAATTATTAAATTTTGTCAAAATTTGAACTTTAAATGCTTATAAAAAAAAATTGTGCTCATGTATTTTTAAACTGCTATTGTAACAATATATCAGGAGCCTTGCATTAAATGTCCACTCTTTTTTACCCAACAAATACAATTTTATTGATATTTATAGAAAAAAAAAAGTAAACAGCCCAAAAAGAGTCAAAATATTTTCAACATTTTATGCTGTATAGAAAATGAAAATATAAACATTCAGTAAAATTGTCATATCGTATCTACAGTTATTTGTTTTTGAATAACAATAACATAACAAAATCGCTACATGAGAAATCGAGTGAATATCAAATATTGTAAAAATATGAATTTCAAACGCTCATAAAAATTTAATTTGATTTGCTTTTAACATTTTTTTTTTTGTTAAAGGTAGAAAAACTTATGAGGAATCTTGTGATACATTTTCAAATCTTAGATTTAAAAAGACAATTTTTTATGAATTTTCAACTCAAAACAATTTGCTAATTTTCGTGATTTTTCAGTATTTGGCAAGATTTAAACTTTAAATGTTTATAAATAAAAACTGTGACTATGGATTTTTATTATTTTTCAATTGACATTGTAACAATATAGTAGGGGCCTTGTATTAAATTTTCAAGCTTTATACCCAACAAATAAAATTTATTGACATTCATAGAAAACTAATACAATTGGAAACAGAAAATGTTCCTAAACAGTTCAAAACAAATCAAAATATTTTGAACATTTTATCGTGTATAGAAAATACAAATATAAACGACCAGTGAAAATTTCATTTGTTTTAAAGTTAGACCAAAAACCAATATCAATTTTGTGGAAAACCGTTTTTCCGTAAAAATTCCCATTTTTCCTTAATTTTTATGCTGTTTTTCCACACGCTTTTGAAAGCTATTGGGAATTTTGACCTGCCCAATGCACCAACAATATTCCCTTTTCCATCGAACAAGATACAGAAGTTTAAAATCTAAGCATTATTTCGACTACTTATCGTGTACACGGACACACAAAAAAAATAATCTTCATAAACATGTTTGAAGTCAAATATAATTGGAAGATTGTCAAAAA